TCATTATATCTGTATGTTGCCATTCTTCGAAAAATCGTTGAATTAATAACTGGTGATCCTTAAAAATCATTTTACACATTCCAACTATAATTTTAACACAGAGATCTTTGATATGGTTGATCGTAGAAACGATTTGAAGAATCAGTAAGTGACGCAAAACATGAGTTATCCTTACTGGTCTGAAGTAGAGAGTGATTACACACAGTCGATTTTCAACTGAAGACGAAGTATTGTTATACGAGACTGTGAGTTGATATCTGTTCGAAAAGAAATATTCTTAAAAGGAATTGACTGTCATGAGATAAGAGAAAGCGATAAAAATAAAAATGTTTTTATTAATTCTATACTTATCGTGTTAATGTTATTGTTTCCTGGTGTAGTTTAGTTCCTGTTTAATCTATGCTCCAGTTTAATTTATGTAGCTGTTTTATATTTATGTTCCTGATGCAAATAAATTTTATTTTTACAGAACTGATATTCTGTTATCACTACTAATAGTTTTACAGTATCTGTTATTGAATATGACAAAGTGCTCAATAACTTGTATCATATTAAGACCATAATTTATACATGTAAAATATTTATTTAGATACATCGAACCAATTTGAACTCGATATCTGCGAACCCTTTGAACCTCACGTTATTGATCTAAGATATAAACTGTGCTGTCCACTACATATATATACGTACATATTTTTACGTATTTAATTACGGACTAAATAATTTCCAGATGTAGTGATAATGCTTTTGATTAAATAGAATGTAATACGAAGGTATATACAAGACCCTGAGACGAGCGGAGAAAAGCAGAGGAGAATGAAGATCGGCCGTGGTTGAAGGGTGGAATGGTTGTCTTAATGTACCATGTTAATGTTATTGTTATATTCCTGATGTAGTGTAGTTTCTGTTTGAGTTATGTTCCTGTTTTATCTATGTTCCTGTTTTATATTCTTGTTCCTGGTGTAAATAAATTTTATATTTACAAAACTGATATTCCGTTATCACTAATAGTGTTACACTAACATTATGCAAAGATTTCGTTCCACTTGGTCTAGGAAACTTTTATGCTTGTTAACCAACATAATATCCAACAAGAAGGTGTTAAGTCGTACTGAAATTTTGGATACCAGCTAATATCTTCCAGTCGCATACTATCTCCAAATGTACCGTGACTTTGCATGCTCTTGGACTTACACCGAAGTCAAACACTTCCTATCGCCACTATTATGCGAACAATTAAATAAAGAAGATCCGTTACTTCTGAAGGAGCTGCTATGAGAGTTTCGGCCACTGACCCTTTGATCAAATTGAAGAGACTCTTAATGGTATAAAATACTACACATTCCATGGCTGCCCTTCTTTATCAACAGAATGATCTGGCCAAAGTATAAAAGTATATACCAAGATGTTTGTTCGAGCAAAACCAGAGCGAAGTAATATGTATCTTGATTTGGAGAGATATTAAAACCACTTGAACGCCCAGAAACGCCTATTGTTTCAGGAACCACGGGGAAGCGTACACAGGGATTTTGCTGCATACAATTGACACTGTGGATAACCATTCTCGGCTTACTACTGTACCACCAACTATATCAACATTGATACCTGGCGACGAAGAAAAATAAACTGGTCATGAAATTTCAACAAGCCTTGGAGAAATAGTCAGCCTATGTTTACCTACAGTACATGCGTTATCTCGTTGCGACAACACAAGTTCTTGGAAAACGAAAAGATTTTACAAAAATACGACAATAGCTTAACCCCACTTACGGAGAGAGCCTTGAATTAACTTATAATATAATGTTTTCTGTAATAAATTTAACCAGGAACAAAACACGCGCCTCTTGTACCCCTGACGAATTGCGTTACGTTATTGCTATAGGTCAACGGACACATTGGCAGCCACTCTTCCTCTAACAGACGACGCTTTACACTTACACACCAGACATACGTGGTGCAATATCATGAGGCGAAACCTAATATCCCTTGTCCAATTGATCATGGGTAGCGAAGAAATGGTGATAGTAGTCCCTGTTTTATTTGAGAAGGTATCTGTGAGAAGGACGTGTTTTTGCCCTATGATTCATGCTCAAGCTTGACTGCTTGGTCCGTGTTTCAAGACAAGTGGAGACCAGAGCCGCCAACCCTCTAAACTGTTACCCAATTCCTGCAACTCCACCGTCGAAGACCTAGGCCTACGAAGGGCAGTCAAGTCAGCCGCGACGACACCAAGGGTGGGGGTGGGGGATAACGGGTCGTTCGCCCTGGCGCCGATCAGAGCAGCCAGTCCGAAGACAGGTGCTCTTCGTCTGACTACCGCCGAGACTCGCTACACACCGGAAGATACGCCTACGGGGACGAACCCTTTCCCACGACCGATCCCGTCCTCCGAGAAAAACAAGTCCTTAATGCGTCAGGCCTCGCTCTTCATCGACGCTTTATTTAACGGTTTTCCATATGCAGACACTGTAAATATTATGCCGGATGTTGCAATGGCAATATATCAAATAAAGATATTTAAAACCAATCTGTTAAATTTATTCACTTGAATATCATTGTAGCATTTAGAACATTTGGAATTTCGTAAAAAAAACCCAAAACACTATGATTTTAAGTTTCTTTGTGGACGCTTTATATGGAATAAACCATATGTTATTACTGTCTAAATATAATAACTATATTAATCCGTTGTCATGGATTATTCAAAATCAAAATCTGTGTTTTTAAGATAAGGATTCCGAAGTTCAATTAACAAATTACCCTTTAATATGATAACAATGACGTCACTATTACATCACAGTTACGTCATATATGCAAATTTAAAAGTTTTGACCAAAAATATGACCTTGTCACCCATTACTCTTTCAGATGATAGTAAATGATTTTCAAGTTTGTTCAGCATCAAAGAACAAGAACCAAAAATCTACCCCATCAAATCTATTATCGTTAAAGAAACCTCGACCATTGGTAAAAGTGCCAAAAAAATATATTGGGCCATGTTGAAAATTTGCCCAAGAGCCAGTTTTGAGTTCTGGTGACGTGACTCTATCAAAAAATATCCAAAGTGTTTTGTTCTACCTCGGGTAGGGGTATCTCGCCATTTAAGCCCCTTTTTGGGCCTTAGCCGCTAGCCTATAACAACCTGACAACCCGCCATGCCTGACGGACTGCTTAGCCTCAACTACGTTATGATCATACAAAATATTACAAAAACGTCAAGGGGAGACGGTTCTACAAAGATGGTCGGTAGCGCCGTCACAATCCTTTTTGTCAACCCAGCTTTAAGCGGTCCTTTCCCTAGGCTGCCGTAGAGCTATCTGCCGACATGACGTCATTTTATAGGCTGCAGGCTGAGCTACTGACCAACCACAGGCTCGCATTCTGCCTGACAAGGACTGCCATTCCTGACAAGTTAACTTTTTACAATAATATGAATCGTGCGTAAGCTTAGCTTACAGCGACGAGGTCGGAGGTCCTAAAGAATCAGAAGTACCTAAGAGCAGCAAGTACTTCAAAATGCTTAATGAATTTAATATAATAATGAGATGTACAGAGTAAGTAACAAAAGTAACAAGCATTGTAAGGTCACGAATTTATTATAGCACACCATTAAATTAACACAGCATCCTACGCTAACAACACATTCATATGTGGATATTATTTGACTTGCTATCGTCCCCTTATATCCCGTCGCATAGTAATACATCATGACATGCCTTACAGAGAGAGAGAGAGAAATGGGGTTTAACGTCCACTCGACAAAGACTAGGTCATTTCGGGACTAACATATGGTTTAATTTTTTTACAATAATTCGCTTGCGCGTAGGTGTCTTTAGCATTGGGAGGAAACCGGAGGACCCCCAGAAAACCCACGAGGTTGGACAGGCAACCCTACTCCTTGTCACGTACAACTGGGGATTCGAAACCATGCCAGTTGACTCAATGGCAGGCCTTATGCTACAGCGCGCACGTGCTAACTATTCGGCCGTCCAACCCCCGACATGCCTTACAAATCAGGCTCAAAGTACCGATGTTCTATGATCTAAGATACGACTTGCTGTCGTCAACGTAAGTAGGCTACATTAGGCAAAACAAAATTGTAAACAATGTGAGCGTACAGCTCGTTCTATTTATAGTAACAATTAAACCTTTCAACAATGGCAAAGGCAACACTAATATCGTAATAATACCAACGATAAATACTTAACAAATGCAATAATAAAACAATGTGAAGATGTAACTATTGGTTCTTAACGATATAGTACACGACATTACCAGTGATCAGTGATAATGATATAATAATAATAATAATTAAATCTACCCCCCACCCCCACCACCGCCACATATAACAATATATTTATCGCGATCAAAAGGTTTTCGGAAAAGCGGCATATCTCCTGGACGGAAAAATTCGATGCACACCAAGGTCCAGTTGATTCAAGATCTTTTGGCCTCGAGGGTTTAAAACATTGGCATATATATTACATGCTTTGCCACCATCTGCGTAAAGGGGAACGCCCATTTTGAAATAATCTAACTATTACGGGATTATGGTGGTAACGAAGATATAGTTGAACGGTATTTAAAATCAATAAAAATTGTGACCTCTAGAGGCCCAGGTTATTGTTCGTACAATCGGGGGAAATAATCCAAGTAGTTACGTGGTACTACCGTGGTACTGTCGTGGTACTACCGTGGTACAAGTGTGCTACTACCGTAGGAAATAATCCAAGTAGTTACGTGGTACTATCGTGCTACTGTGTACTTTCTTAATTAGTGAGCGAGAGTCATACCCACGCAGATAACGTGGCCTGATAAACACATTGGTTTTACATAAATATCGACTGTATATATATTTTATACAGTCGGAAAAGTAAAACAATGTTATTTTTTTTTTAGGTTGTCGAGAAGGTTTACCATATTATGGCAACGAAGATGGAATTTACCTTGTATATCCCACGTTAGCACCCAAACCATTCAAAGTTCACTGCCTAAAGAGTGGAGGATTCGGAATGCTTCGCAGACATTCTACGCCTACTGTAAATTTCAACAGGCCTTGGTCAGATTATAAAATGGGATTTGGAAACATGCCCATCGAGTACTGGTTAGGACTCGACAACATTCATTTTCTTACCCAAGATTACACATACCGTTTAACTACGTCTGTATTCCTCCAGAATGGTACGAAGCTTCGATCTCGTCAGCGCGATTTTCAAGTGGGTAACGAATCAACATTATATAAAATGACCTTCACAAATTCTCTTACGGGAGAGAACGATACTCTTGGAGATTGCATGGAGGAAATGAAGAATCAACCCTTCTCGACATATGATAACGATAATGACAATGACGCGAATGTAAATTGTGCCCAGGAGTATCATGGTGGGTACTGGTTTGACGCATGCTCTTCATGCAACCCAACAGGGGAGATGATTAGACCAGCTTCCGGTTACCTACTGAATCAGACATCTGAAGTATTTTGGAAGAAAAATCTTGGGGATCTGGCACCATATAATTTGCGTCAGAATCTAGTTTAATAGTTCTACTGTATAATCTCTTCTGTCCTGTATGACAAATACAGAAAGTTGCAAACAATGTTTTTTAAACAGCATCTTTATTCACGATATCTGAATGCGATTGCCGAACAGACTCAGAGTAAGCCCATTTAAATCCCCTCTCCCTATGTTCTTGTTTCATCTTGAGGGAATAGACTGTAGTTAATACATGTTACTCCAAGAGCACAATTTACCTAGCATCTTTGTTTACCGCCCTACTTGTCTGACTCCCTTGCAGGACACACCGATCTGCACCAACATACACACTAAGCCAACAGCATATTCACTAAGCCACCACCATATACATTAGGCCATTACTCACTAGGCCACCATACCCAATAAGCCACCACCATACACATAAGGCCACCATACCCACTAAGCCACCATCATACTCACTAAGCCACCACCGTAACCACTAAGCCACCACCGTACCCACTAAGCCACCATCATACCCACTAAGCCACCATCATACTCACTAAGCCACCACCGTAACCACTAAGCCACCACCGTAACCACTAAGCCACCATCATACCCACTATGCCACTATCATACTCAATAAGCCACCATCATAATCACTAAGCTACCACCATACCCAATAAGCCACCATCATACTCACTAAGCCACCATTATACCAACTAAGCCACCACCATACCCACTAAGTTACCATCATACCCACTAAGCCACCACCATACCCACTAAGCAACCATCATACCCACTAAGTCCCCATCATACCCATTAAGCCACCACCATACACATTAGGCCATAACTCACTAGGTCACCATACCAACTAAGCCACCATCGTAACCACTAAGCCACCATCATACCCTCTATCATACTCACTAAGCCACCATCATAGTCACTGAGCTACCACCATACCCAATAAGCCACCATCATACTCACTAAGCCACCATCATACCCACTAAGTTACCATCATACCCACTAAGCCACCAACATACCCACTAAGCCACCATCATACCCACTAAGTCACCAACATACACACAAGGCCGCCACGATAACCACAGGTTTGTTTTCGTGAAGTGTTTTCCTCCTGTACTTACTTTTTTTGGTGTAAGTTGCTGTGTCAATCTATATATTATATAGACAATGTTCAAAATAAAGAAATTGGTTATTCACATAAATTATTATCCTTATTTACTGATTGACATCGGGAATGACACAATCATGGGCAGTATCTTGATGTTGTCAAATTTGAGTAAACCTTCCACGATTTCATAAATTTCATGGAAATTAACCACTTCAATCCCCAGCTGTTTCTTAGCAACACCTGAATTAAAGGTCTCGGACCGCCTGATTAGATACAGATTACAACAATGTTAACGAATATTAAACCGTAACGAATATGGAAAAAGCCTGCAATCCCTCGTGAAATGTATTACACATCTACGAGGGAAGGTGGGGGAGGGGAGGGGAGGGAATTTGAGCGCCTAATGAAACGAAGACAAAAGTAAGAGTCTCGCTTTCAGTTTCGCTTTCAGCCTACCTATAGACCGATCATTTTAACGTTCTACAGGCCAGGACTATAGGTCTGGACACCCTTACGTTCAAATGGAACATGGACGGATCTTGGCTCCACGGACAGGTGAAGACAAACTGCAAATTAGTTGTTGTTAGTTGTATTTTACGTCCGCTTCCACCGAGGTGATATCGCAGACAATAACATGTTATGTATTCAAGGTGCAATAATTTACAATGTGATTAGTGAAAAAGACGATAATTAGGTTTTTATATATATATGTACCAAAGACAATAGATAACAGATAGAGACATGAGATAACAGGTGCAAAGAATAAAAAGGTGCCAGTGGACGTTTACAAAACAGACGAATTTGTAACAAAACAGACATGAATGTGGACGAGCATTTGGACAGAGACAAACATTTAGACATAGTATGTACATATATATATATATTTAGGTCGTTTTCGTCGGTCTGGTCGATTTGTTCGGTTGAATGGCAGGGCGGTGCAACTCTTCCTTGGGGCTTGTTGGTGAGTGTAAGGCCTGGACCATTCTTCCTTCCGTTTGGTTTTGTTGTCCGGTATGATGGCTGATGTCCTCATTATTTCTCTTGTTCATTCCTTTGTTGTTGGTTCTCTGAAGGAAGAATCCAGCGCCTGAAAAGAGAAAGCTAGAGAAAAAGAGTATCTGGTCTTACGGTGGTTTTGTTTTTATTTAGTCTAGTAAGGCTTCGGGGGGGGGGGGCGGGGCTGGGAAGGGATGAAAAAAAAGCATTTATGGCAAGTTAGTGTGATATACAGTCAAAATTTATTAGGTGTTAATAATTACAATAATACATATATGGTGGCTTAATATGATCTACAATCAATGCTTATTTAGTCAAGAAATAGAAAATTTTTAAAAAAGTTTCAGGGTGTGTAGCGCTTCCCTCTTATGGGGGCATTTTTGCGCTAACACCCTAATTTATTAGTTGATTTATTAATTTTGTCGGAGTTTTATTAGTAGTGTAGGGCGGTTTACGCTTCCCTCTTGGGGACATGTTTACGTTCCACCCTACTGTAGAATTTTTTTTAAAAAGTTTCAGGGTGTGTAGCGCTTCCCTCTTATGGGGACATTTTTACGCTAACAGCCTGATTTATTAGTTGATTAATTAATTTTGTCGGAGTTTTATTAGTAGTGTAGGGCGGTTTACGCTTCCCTCTAGGGGACATTTTTACGTTCCACCCTACTGTTTTAATTGATTAATTTTATGTATTTGGACATGCCTATATTCTCAATAAAATCCCAGACAAGCTGAGATGTCTAGTATCTATCGTCAGGTTGTGGAGAGTTTTTCCCCTCTCTTCTAGATTCTTAATCATTGATTGACGTTCTTTGTTTAATTGATTACAGTTGATTAACAGGTGTGACGTGGTCGCAATTTGTCCACATGGGCATTTAATTGGCGTAACGGTGAAGTCTTTGATTACGTTTATCGTTTTAAGCCTCGTGATGAGTTTGCATATTTTGATTGAGGGATGATTGATGTAAACCTTGTCTACAAGATTGCTATCAATTTGATAGCGATGAGTATTTTCTTGTTTTAGGCGGGTTTTCCATGCATTTTTAATTTTATCTTTAGCTATGCTTGTGAATTCCTGACTGCTGTATTCTAAATTTTCTATATCGGTTAGTGACAACCCTTCCTTGGCTAGTTTGTCAGCTTGGTCATTGCCGAAAATATTGATGTGGGAGGGGGTCCATGCAAGGACTACCTCTCTTCCATTATTCTTGATTGTTTGATTAATATCCCTTATTTGGTGGATTATGTCCTGTCTACTTTTGGAAGAATCTGATTCTATGGATTCGATGCTGCTTAGGGGGTCAGATAAGATTACGGCTTTTTGGTGTGTTTGCGTGACCAGCCATTCTATTGCAGTTTTAATGGCCATCAGTTCTGCGGTGTACACAGAACAATGTTCTGGTATCCTTTTCCTGATGTTTAGCTTTGCCTTGGGTATGTATATGCCGTACCCTGTTGATCCTTGTATATTATTTTTCGATCCATCTGTGTAGATTTTGAGATAATCTGCCCATTTGGTGTCTATTAGTTCTAATGATGGTGCTCTAGCCTCTATGGGATTAGCGTGTTTGTTTGTGACGTTAATTAGGTGCGTGTTAATGATTGGATCGCTTAGTTGCCAGGGTGGAGTGACGGGGTAATTTTTTTGTTTCAATGATTGTTCCTTTTAAACTGTGCTTATTTAAGATATCGTTTGACATTTGCCCGAATGCCATGGGACGAGTGTTTTTCCTAAAGCCTATGCGTTTGAATTGTTGGAGGCACTTATACGTCGGACATTTTTCTTTTAGCATTTGCAGTTTACCCCAGTACTTGAGCGACAGTTCCTCTCGCCTGAGATCGAGCGGGGGTTCTCCCATCTCTTGTAAGGGGGCAACTGTTTTGGTTCCTATTGCTGCTCTTGTTACTAGTCTTAATGCTTTACCTTGTATTATGTTCAATTTATTTAGTTGTGTATCACTTGCATTTGCATAAGCCAGACATCCGTAGTCGATTACCGAGCGGATGAGTGCTCTGTATATTAACATAAGAGTGCTTCTATTTGCGCCCCATTGCGTTCCTCTGATGTATTTCACTAAGTTGAGTGTTTTCGATGTGCGACTTACTATGCTGTCTATGTGTGGTTTCCAAGAAAGTTTAGTGTCAAATATCATTCCTAAAAATTTGGCTTCTGTTTTGAATTCAGTTTTTGAACCGCTAAGATTTAAGTCTATTTTCCTGTTAATGTCGGTCGGATGAAACATTATTGCTACAGTTTTTCCTTCTGAGATTTTGAAACCCCAGTCGTCGGCCCACTTTGAGATTTGTTTTAGGGAATGTTGAAGCGATTGTTTGATTATACCTTTCCAGAACGAGCTATCGTTAGCAAATAGTGCGGATTCTGTGCCATTTCCCCCGTAGCTTGGAAGATCATTTATCATTATATTGAATAGTATTGGGCTGATAACTGATCCTTGCGGCGTTCCGTTTTCCATTTTGAATTTGTCACTTAAGCAATTATCTACGCGTACTCTGATATGCCTCTCGTTCAGAAAGTCTTCTATCCACTTGTACATTCGGCCTTTGATTTTCGCGTTGTGGAGTTGGTGTAAAAGACCATCCACCCATACAAGGCCGAAGGCCTTTGTTAAGTCAATAAAGATTGCGCAGAGGTATTGTTTAGCTGTCAAGGCTTTGGAGATGTCATGTTGTAATCTAATGATATGGTCTTCTGTCGACCTGTCGGACCGATAGCCACTTTGCTGTTTTGTGAAGATGTTGTTGCTTTCACGGTGAAATTTTAGTCTGTTTGTAATTATTGTTTCTAGTGTTTTACATAAAGTGGATGTGAGACTGACTGGGCGATACGACGTTGTTTCGTTTTTGTCTTTATTGTGCTTGTGTAGGGGAATGACTGAGGCAGTCTTCCATTCTTGTGGTGTTTTTTTTTTTTGGCCCATGAGAG